GGTTCAGGCCGTCCCTTTTTACTCACAACCAACGTGACGTTCGTCACCTTCTCTTTGAGCCTCTCTCTTGAGAGAAAACGTTGCGTCCAAAAGTTGAGTTCACTCAACAGACTGCATGCATGACGTTCAAACGTGTTGCAAAACCACATTGCGCAAATTGCTTCAAAAAACATCCACACTGTACGTGGTGTGTTCACATGCGCAGATCACAAAGTGGGATGCACACATTCAAAAATGCACAAGAAGCTCTGGGCCGCTTGAAAGAATGGCCTCTTTCACAAAAGAACTTTCGTACCATTGCGCCTGTTGTGCTGCTAAAAGGGCAATGCTAGTTCATTACAAAGGTGTCCACTTGGTATCATCTATTGATGATACTCAGCGTGCCATTATGCTGGAAATGTGAACAAGGTGACTGGAGATTCTCATCCGGTCAACGAGAAGCAGTGGGAGACTGAGCTTGAAGATTTCATGAACCATAAGCAAGAGATGGATTGGACTGTGGTGGGGGCTTGACGCAATAGATGAAGGACAACCTCCACAAGTTAATCCTGAGACCATGAAGGAGATTGAGGCTGCCGCAGGACAAGAAGAGACAAGCAGACTCCTTGACATGAGGGTGATCCGAGACCCAACACCCTTCGAATTTGAAGAAGGAAAAATCTTGACAACTCGATCTGTCTATGACTGGCGAGTTCGTGAGGGCAAATGGAAACGAAGGTGCAGAGATGTTGCAAGAGAGTTCAGGCAATGATGTCTCAACAGCAAAGACCTTTGCACCGACATCTTCCTTGGCTGCAACTCGATTGGTGCTGGGGACCCACGTGATATTGAAGTGGCATCTATGCTTCCTCGACATCAAGGATGCATTCCTCTTGGTGGACCAGATGCGCTTGGTGTTGGTTGAACAGCCAGAGTGGTGGAAGCCTGAAGAGAAGGCAATTGGCTTTTCTGGCCAACGTCGATATTGGACCCTTGCAAAGTGTTTGCCACTGCAGCCCGATGGTTTGATTTTTTCAGCGACCATCTTCGAGACCTTGGCTTTCAAAGCCACATGAGCTTACCTTCCTTGTTCAGACACGAGAACAAACAGCTTGGTGCAGTATGCCATGTTGACGATTTGATTGTAGCTGGACAATTGATGGACTTGGAATGGTTGCTTGAGGTGATGAAGAAGAGATTTGTGCTCAGTGAGTCTGGAATTCTTCCAAGAGAAGGACAATCACCAGAAGAAGCAGTCCGATGTTTGAAGAAGAGACATTTCTTCGCGAAAGACGGTTTGGTGGTTTCGATCAGCTTTGGGCACTTTACTCATCCAACATTGTGTGCGCAACTTGTCCCAGTTCATGGCGCTCCCAACAAAGAAGGCCGAGATTGAGCTCAGGCATGTCATTTGCTATTTGAACAGGACAGAGCATTATGGCTTGCTACTTCCCTACACCAAGTACAAGAGCAAGAAAGCAGAGATTTTGGGCCATGAAGATGAGGAAGGCGACTATGACCTGCTCGAGAGCTTCACGGACAGCGATTGGGCTGGTGATAAATCCAGCGAGAAAAAAGAGAAAACATTCTGTGAGCTCAGCAATGTTGTTCCTGAATGGTTGCTTGGTGAGTGGATCGTCGAGATCGCAACAGGCGATTTCCTTGAGTTCCTGTGAGGCTGAGTTTTTGGCAGCATCCGGTGGCGCAGCCGAATCCATTCAGATCAAAGACCCCTGGGAATTTCTGAGCAAGAGAACATTGAAGATCCGTTCCATCACAGACAACACTTCATGAAGAGCATTTACAGAGCGATTGGGAGTTGGAAGACTTAAGCACATCGACGCACGATACCTCTGCATGCAGTTGGAGGTCAAGAAAGAGGTGTTGACCATTGGCATCTCAACGTTTTGGAATGTGTCAGATTTGGGCACCAAGAAATTCACGAGACAACGCCGAGAGTTCCTCATGTGCTTGATTGGAGTGGTAGAACTTCAAGCAGAAGGACAAGATGAGTTCTTTTCTCCTGTTGGCAAGAACGCCTTCAATGAGGTGATATCCAGGAAGGTGAAGAATGAAATGATCAAAAACCTGGTGAACGAGCAGAATGATCACAAGATCAAGATCCCAACCAACATGGTGCGTGCAGTGACTTTGTTGCTACTACAGCCCGGTGTCCTTGGATTACCAGATGGAAACTATACCATGGACTATGAGAGGAAGCTTGGATTTGGAGACTACCTTTGGTATTTCCAATGGTTCTTTTTGTGCACAATGGCTGTGTTCATTTGTGGCATGATTGTTGGCTACAAGTACCGCATCAGATTGAGCATCCTTGTTCGAACAGCCTTACGCTTCTTTCGACAAGAGATCACAATGGAATTTCAACGACAGCAAGATGAAAGGTTGTTCAGAGAAGGGATACTTCAAGAAGTTCGATAGGAAGAAGTACGTGATCGACGAAGTGGACGAGATCTACTTCTTCGAGCTCAAATGTGGTCGGCCAACAATGGAGAGTGGACCTATGAAGGCAGGACTATTTTTCCTGAACCTCTTCGACAGCCTGAACCAGATCGACAACTAGGACCAGAATTCCGCAATGATGCAAAAACCGATTCTAGTGATCGTGATGCAGACTATGAATGGGCTGGTGAATGGACAACAGATTGGGACCCAGTCCTTCAGCGAATGGGGGAGTACAGGATTTTGCCTGGCTCAGAAGCCGCAGAGAGTGGAGAATAATATTTCACTGGCAATCCTACGACTGGTTCCTACAGAAGATATCGACCTACAAGGTCAGAGCGTGAGGCCAAGAGTGAAGCCAGTGAGAACAACGATGAGACAAATGAGATTCAAGACATGGAAGTAGATGAGATTCCTTCCGCGACACAAGAAGGAGGAGTGTGGACTGAACACAACAGAAATGATCCGCCTGCTGATGCCAATTGGGGCGACATGGACACGATCCTGAAGTACCTGCCAGCTGATGAAGACCGCCGTGCGAGAAAAGTGAGAGAGGCCGGAATTTTTATTCCTGGACTGCTGAAAGAATTTTTGCAGTGCAGGTTTTTGCAATTGCATGGACAGAAGAACCCAAGAGCAGCTTTTGACCACGTGCTGCATTGGGGTGAAAGCGAAAAGAAAGATTTCGCGAATTTTGCCGTGATGGTTCTATCAGGACAATGGGAGATAAATTGGGATGAAAACATCCGGCGACACTTTCAGCAAGGTGTGGCATAAAACTGTGCCGTTCAAGCCACGCCAGTTTTTAGGTGGGGTGTTAGTGAATTTCACCTCACGAGATGTCATGAGATGACTTCGACCTTACGCCACATAGTGGCCCGAGCCTGCAGCTGAAAAGCTGCACCCGCTGCGCGCTACCGCGGACAGTTTGGGTGTTTGTTTTCGAGTGCGTGATTGCATTCGGTTCGTGGGTTTGTCTTGTTTTTTCTTCTCTTTTGGCCAATTGAGTCAACGGAAGGCGGTGTGTGGTTTTGGCGCAAAGTTTGCCCTGATAAGCATCGACAACCCTGTGTCACCAAGAGGTTTGCTGAGTTCGAGGCCCCAGCAGTGCTCTTGTCTGGTTCGTTCGAGTGCCGTCGTTCAGTGGTTTGTCCGACGCTGCTTCAAGACAAGTGAAGTGCCAGATGCGGGAATCGTTTGATGTCTCAAGTCGTGAACATCCAGAACACAAGCGCATCTCCACAGGAAGATGCCACAAGGAACAGTTCGCCTTGAGGTGAACATGCAAATTCTCTGCCAGCCCTGTGCTGTTGGTCCTTCCATGCGGAACTTGTTCTTTGTGACAGTTTTCATGTTCTCCACACTCTGCACCAAATCCAGGCAGGCGTCTTGCAGGCCAAACATGTATTTCCAACTTGTCTGATGTTCTGAGTTGCAAAAAAGGGAAGGCCTTTGGGACGTGTGTTTTTCCATTGTGTTGTTTGTTTTCTGTTTCATTCCCGTATTCTGTGGTGTGGGACTGGTTTTTGTTTGATTTCATGTGCGTGGGAAAACGACCGTGCAAAATTCACATCTGGGTATATAATTGAGTTCGTGACATCACGAACTTGTGCACAAACTTGATGCAGTGGTATCAATCATGATGAAGAAAAGGTCGGCTAAAGCCTGTATGGAGGTTCAGCATCCAGGTTTTAGTGTGGTTCAACATAGCATTCGACAATTTTGAATTGGGAACCACAAAAGAGGTCAACAGTGGAAAACACAATGCAAGAATGAATTATTCTTGTAAATGAGTATCTCGCATGATTTGGCAATTTCCTCGCAACAATTGGAAAAAACAAACAACATGTCATTATATAGGGCACCTCAACGTTGACAATTTTGCAGTAGATCACGGTAATGTTGAGGCTGACATGGTTGGAGCTAGCTCGCCGTTGAGCTAATGAACTGTAAGTTTTGTGCAAAGGTACTTGTTGCAAAAATATGTTTTTGTTTGTTTGTTTGCTTCCACATTAGCAGCTTCATTGGTCAAATTCTTTGAAAAAAACCTGATGTGCTGCTGAAGTGTAACCACAGTCTTCGACTACGCACCCGGGTTCTATGGCCTGTGCGAATGCATACATGTCATCTTTCTCGGCCCACAAAAGTATGGGCACAACTTGCAACTTTATTGTAGCAAATAGGCTCAGCATCAGCCTCATAAGGCCCAGGAGGACATTGAACAACAAACACGGGGTTGGAAAAAAAAGTACAAAAACAAAGCAATCCCTTTTTTCTCAAAGACTTCGAAAAACGATGGAACCATCATTGAAACATCATGATGATACAAAAAACAACATTGAGTCAATTTTTGAGTTTGTTGGTCTATTGGGGATCAATGAATTCCCAGTCTTACCTACAGATTGATGATTCAACTCCTGGCAGGACCCTTAAAATTTTATTACCTGGCAGTTTCATACTATATCCTATGTTGGACTGCAATTGGTGTGCGTTTTTTTCACTGCATACTCTCTATCCGCGTCTCCGTGGGCACTTTGGATTGAACTCTTTGCCCAAAATCGAGTGTAGATTCCCATGGCGAAGACGACTGTGCCGCGCTCGGCTTTTGTAGAGGGCGGATTGAAACTCTTTAAGAAGCACGTTTGTTCTCAGGTGTCCATACCAATGGTGCTCCATGTGGTGCGCAACCGACGAATTGTTTTGCCTTTGCTTGCCGGGAACCTACCATGCTTGGAACTGTGTCTTTGTAAAGCTGTGGACCTTTTAGCCAGCAGTTGGCCCCAATATAGTACGCACATCTATCTATTTCGAAGAAATAACTAGTGCCAATCTTCTATGTGAAGGGTATGCGGGAGGGTTTCAAAAAGAAGAGGGTCAGGTGGAAAAGAAAGTCCCGGGCACAACGTTGGTGAAAACCGAGAGAGGCCAAACCCCGAGCCACTTCAAATAGAAGATACAAAAAAAAGCAAAGAAGAGGAAGAGAAGGGAAGGGAAAGGAGAAAGGGTGGGGAAAGGGGGAAGGAGGAAGGCAGGGGGAAAGAGGCAGAAGGGAGGGGAGAATCTGAGAAGGGGGAAGGAGGAAGGAGGTAAAGGAAAGGAAGGTAAAGGTAAAGAGAAGGAAGGAAAGGTGGAAAGAGAAGGGGAAGGGGAAGGAGGTAGAAGGGAAGGCAAAACAGAAGGCAGAAGAGAAGCTAGGACATAGCGGGTGTAATTATGTTGCGTTTCTCTTCTTCTCCGAGGGAGAGAGAGAGAGAGAGAGAGAGAGAGAAAAAGAGTGAGAGAGCAAGGGAAAGAGAGCGGGCGGCTCATGCGTATTTTGTGCAAACATATACTTTCTTCTATTTGAAGACCTGTTGGTGAGCACGTTCATCAACCCGTTATCTTGACCTATTTCTTCTACTTGTCCCGGAACCCTGCTACGGGAGGAATATGCAGCCTTCTATTTGAAAATAAGTTTTCAAGCCTTCTACAATAGTTTCCCGTACTATAACGATGTGAAACATTTGGAGCTAAGCAGTTAGTCTGTATGTGCTAAACAGTTTGCGAATGAGCTAGCAGCTAGATCGGTCAGATCTCCGAGTTGAGGCGATAGTGGTGGCCGCTGCTCAGCTCCTCACAAGTGTGGCATTTACCGGATCTTTTCGGCCAACACTCCTTGGGGAGGCTCGTGGCTGCATTGATTCCAATCTTTATATATACATACATATATACATATATACATGTAGCTAGTCTTGCTCAGGATTGTGTGCGTGCGGCTCTTGGATCACTCCCGGACATACGGATTCTGAGTTTGTTCGTTCTGCCAAATGCTGTCAGGTGACGTCAACGTCCACATGAAGCAATCTGTCCAGGGCGCTTGTAAGAAAAAGGCACAACTTCAAATCATCAACGCCCAAAGCATATGATTGCATTTGCATGTATTTGCATTTCCAGGTAGCAAGAAGCCCCGTGAACCCGAATATGCAGACGGCAAAACAGAAGCAATCAGAGCGGACGAAGGCTTCGTTTGGTGGCATGAGGATTTCTTGTGCACTTATATATATATATTTACACTGTATTTAAGTCTTTCCAGGCAAGGGCATCAGATGCTCAGAAGAGCAACCGAGTAGGTTACATGCAATGGCCTGCCAGGATCTGAGTTCAGTTGCAAACTTTTCAATTCACGAAGAGTGCTGCTTCCTTCGGCCAACTGTTGCTTGAGGTCGAGCCTCCTGAGGGTGTGACAATCCTGCACGTAGAATTTGATGTTGCGCATTGCTCCTAGTTGGGACGAATCGCTTTCAACTTTGGATGTGCTCATTTGTAAGGCCCAAGAACCAATACGAGGCTGAGCAGGCACGAAGGACTGCAGAGTTGACATGCCTTTCACTAGATGAGCTGCCAGTGAGCTGCGGGCAGGACTTGGAACGCCTTTCCGCGTCCTGGCAATCAGGCTGACCCCTTGAGTGTTTGTTACCATTGACCTGCGATTCAAGCAAAGTTGACCCAGGAAGTTCAGGATTTCTACAAAAAGGTCCGTGAGACTTTTGGACCGAAGGCGGAAAACCCAACGTTTGATGCTTTGGTGCATACGGATGTGCTTCGTAGGTCCGAGTCACCATCAATGAACCTCGAATCATCAAGGACCCCTCGAATCATCATGAACTTGATTTGACTTATTCAGCTATGTTGAGAAAGTTATATATGCAGAGAGATTTGTGAAATTGTGCATGTTTTCTTGCAATGACTAGATTCTTTCTGTCTTATAGATATCACAAGCTTCCTTGTGCAAGCTTGTGCGTCTTGATGAATGTGGAAAACAATCCTGATTGTCAATCTATATGGTACAACATCAAATAAGTTGAGGTGTTCTTGGACAAATTGCTTGTAGTTGCTTGGTGCTTCTTGCTGTATTGCCTGATCAAAAGTGAGTTTGTGTCTCTTTATCGATCCAGATCATGGGACACATTTCTCCATTTTTCTGCTGCGAAAGTGCTAATCAGAGACTCATCGAAAGATTGTTGGTTGCGGTGAGGCGTTCGCTTGTGATGCCGAACATCGCATCACTTGTGACGCCGAAAATCACGTCGCTTGTGACGCCGATTTGCCCGCAGCACGCACCACCCCACCACACCCATGATGCTGGTGATGCTTTGTGCGTAGTTTTGCTACCAGACTCACGCACAAAGCAGCCCTTCTTCTTTGCGCAGTATGGCCACTTCGCGCAAAGCAGTATTGAGTGCGTTCCTGCACAGGCTAGGGTCGGCACTGGCGTACAGGGCAGAGAACTGTGTGTGTCATCGGTTGCGCGCAGATGCGGCCATGAGCAAATCATTCCAATAGCCCACGCCACCCCGTCCCACCCATGATGCTGGTGATGCTGTTGTTGTCGCAAGTGACCTCAAAAAAAGTTGTGCTCAGCATCGTCGCAAGTGATCTTAAACATGTCGTCGCAAGTGAACGGTGGACCGTTGGTTGTTATTGCGCAAGCGCTGATCCAACGGTCCATTGTGTTTCCTAAGCCACAATTCAGCAACATCGCTACAATATACGGCCCTTAGGTCGCAACATGGAAATCTCCATAACCTCAGCTACGCAAGGATACACGGTACCCATAAGAGATGGAAGCGCACAATCTCAAAAGTTACTTATTCAAGAGCCGGACTCTGGTACACCATCGAATCTTTGCCCCTCGCAATGCCACAAAGCACTTTTTTGCAGCACTTTGTGTTAAGGTGCTATCCAGATTTGTATTCCTCCTACCTTGTAAAGAAATGCTTATTGATTCTGGTCATTGGCTGCAGGGAAAGAAACTGCCTTTTCCAAACGAACCCCTAGTACACAAACAAACCTTTCAATTTCTTTCTTGTGATGTGCATCTAGACTTTATGTGGGTTGAATGCTGTGTTGGAAGATTCGCTGAAGTGCTATTGGTCCCTGTCTGCACAAGGAGTTGGTGCCGAAAGGTGTTCCAATTAGATATCGCAAGGGAGCTTTCGAAGCAGCTGCCTGAGTTTAGTGCAAGAGTTTGCACCCTATGGACAATATGGCCTCTTGGATAGTGAGCGAGGTGGTGAATTTGAACACGGGCAAGCTCCTATTTTCAAAATTGCAGACTGGTGCATCGCTTGTTTACGAGGCCGCTTGTTTGGCTTGCTTCTTCGTTTTGTGGTGAGAGTCTTTGGTGCAGGGCTACTGGGACAGGTTTGCGAAGCAACTGAAAGAGCAAATGGAAGCATGATGCGGGGACACATCTGTTAGTCATGGCTCCGCAGGGCAGATGTGGTGTCGTTGTAGACGGGGAACGTATGATCTTGAAATTCAAACGCCATTTAAAGACAAGTTCAGATGCCACATATTGGTTGACAGTGCACACTACATTCACATAGACCACCCGTTGTAGAGCACAGCTAGAAACAAGTTGCATTCAGCATCGCCATCTCCAGCCACTCTTGCCGCATTGGAAAAGGCATGCTTCTTGTAGATGCTGAGTGTGTGCTTGCATGTGCTAACTGAGCAAGCTAAGCATGCCGCAACACGCGCAAAATCTCGCCATTTGGCCCTGCTGCACCTGAGACGCACAAAAAAAACAACATACAGTCTTTTGAGCCGAATCGAAGAGCAGACAGGTAGCCGATGAGTGAAGACAAGTGAACACATAGCATGAGAGTCATGGACTTTGGAAAAATAAGTGGCCATGCATGAGCTTTAAGCTATGGAATGCCCACCTCTTTTGGAGGCGGATGCTCACCCGTGAGATGATTTGCTTGCACTAGCTCAACACTTTGAACTTTTCCAAAGGCCTTACACAGGTAAAACTGCGAGGCACAGCAACCTTGAATTGCAGGATGTTGAGAGCAGGCTCCCAAGACCAGTTTGCCGGGTCGATACTACCTACACTTGTTGCTTGTATCAACTTGTGTTTGTATTCTGGGCCTTGTTTTGGAAGTTTTAATCATGGCCAAGGCCCAAAAGAGGAGCCCCGCCGGCTGGTCGGATCACAATCTGCCAGCTGGTTGCCTTCACTTCGGCCGCTCTCTGGGGCTCCACCCTCAGCTGCTCGACCTTTTGCCCAAGTTCCCTAAAAATCTTAGTGCGTCCAGTTATATATATATATACTAGTAGCTTCCAAGTAGCTAGGAGCGAACAAGTTTGTCCCTTACTTAATTCAGTAGGTGCCTACTGAATTAAGTAAGGAGGCAGGGCCACGGGCTTAACAAAAAGAACACATACACTGACATACACAAAGAAAAAGACATGGGACCCAAGGTCACGCCTCTTAGACTGCATGCGCAGACGGCATTCTTGACAGCGCCGAAGAATTGGCCGGGAATTGACAGCACTTCGTGTCACAGACTTTGTGTCATTCTGTTGCTTAATCAATTCATTGGTCGAGGCAAGGGCCCATTTCTCCAGCTTCAACGCAGACTGGATTAGCTACCACTTTGGAGGCCATTGAGGGCGATTGGGGGGTGTTGGAGGCTGTTGGGGGGGCGCTGGGGGCCATTGGTTGTTCATGTTTTCGATAAAAGCATTTTTGGTTATTCTTTGTTTTGAATTGTGTGGTCAAAGAGGTTTCGGTGCCTGTCCAGTGCTTGCTCTGAGGATTGGACCTTCACTGCCGAGGATTGGGGAACTTCGTCGAAGGCGTTTCAGGTCTGGAATGACGGCAGCAGGCTTTAGAGTTTCATCTTCCAGCTGACAACCTTCGCAGATGAAGTCTGGAATGACGACAGCAAGCAGTGTGTAAAGCTTAGATCCTTTATGATCTTTTCTTTTCGTTAGCATTCTTGCCTTCAATGGCATTCCTCCTTCTCCGACTAAATCCAGGTTGGGCTTCGGAAGAGCAAGTTGGGAGCCATGATCTTCTTCAGGAAACATAACTCGTCCATAAAGAGTCGCCAGTAACCAGTCCTAAAAGTGCCAGGAAAACAACTTGTCTCAGACAGCAGATTTGTTTGAGGTCAGATGGTGCCCTGCACGGACTGTCTCCCAAGGCATCGCGTGAAAATGCGCAGTCCTTGGCTGCGGGTTTGACCTTGTGGAGCAAACTAGAAACTGGAGAGACTACTTGCTCACAAGGAGGTCAAGCTGGCTTTATCAACAAGACTTTGCTCAGTCATGAGGATCGCGCAGGTGGAAGCATCTATTCTTTGGCCAAGCACAAGCGATCTGGAGCAACGTCTTCAGGTGCTGCTGCAATGAACCAACATATATATATATATTTGTATAGCAAACTTCCAAGCCTCTCAATCTTTTTGTGAAGTCAAAGCTTTTCCCTGCAGGCAAAACTGAATTCATTGACCAGGCAAGCAGCGCTTGACATTGCTGGCGTGCTTTTTTTGGTCTTTTGCTGAAGGCCAAACTGGTGAAGGACTTTGACAGGCTTACCTCTGCATTGGGAGAAGTAAAGAATCTCTTTGAGGTGCAGCAAGTTTTGTGCAGACGATCCAACAGACTACATGTCCGCAATTATGTTTGAAACAGAGTTCCTGGTCAATTGTATCCACAAACGTTTTTGTTTCCTGGGTCAGGGTTTTGATCCACGGAGATCTCCAAAGCAAAAGGTGACTCTTGGTGTTGGCCTAAGAATTCATCAACATGTTGAAAGTTGGGAGGTTCACTGTGTTTTGTCCTTGGTATCTGCTGACATGTGCATATGTTGTTTTTACTCCCTCTACCTTAGCTGAGGAGACCTTCTTGCAGGTGGAGGTCAGGGTCAAAAGGGCAACAGCGGCGAAGGTGCCGATTGCAAGTCTTGAGCTGCCGAGCTGTGCTTTGTTTTGACTCACCTTTTTCAATCGCGTCCCCGAGGAGATGATGGAGATGCTCAAGAGGCCTTGCGTGAGGCCAAAGAGCGGCTGGCGGAACGCTTGCAGGCGAACCGGAATGAGTTCCTGCTTTTTTTCACTTTCTCAGGACACTTACTTATGAACATTTTTGCAAACATCTTGCAGGCTTACAAGTTTGCACGACGCATAGAGCCTGAAATGCCTCCGTTGGCGGATTCCTCGGCTGATGCAGCAGCATGCACTAGACCTGTAAGGATGCTTGGAAAACATGAACATGCCAAGGGGCCACTTCCGCCAAGCGGTCTCTCGCCCAGGCTGACAGAAAGCAACAGAGTTGTGCCTGAAGAGTTTGTTTGTCACAACTTTGTATCCTGACAGGAAGCCGCCCCTCCAAACTCTTGTCGTCCGCAATACATCCCAAGAGGCAAGGAGACTTCTGGTCCTCTATTAGAAGCCTCTCACTTCACATGCAGGCGATCAAGGTGTGGCTACCACACAACCGAAAAGAACGGATCTCAGCATTTGCTGAGGACTGCCTCATTTTTGCTTCACGACTGCTTTAGAGGGAGTTGATGCCAATATTTTTCCCGAATGCGTAGCGAAGGGTTCTCGTTTAACTCTTGGGGGTCTGGGGGTAGAGCCTTGTCCGCGATCCGTTGTTTCTATGTTCGCAACCGTCCGCAACCGTCCGCAACCGTCCGCAACCGTCCGCAACCGTCCGCAACCGTTCGCAACCGTCCGCAACCGTCCGCAACCGTTCGCAGTAGAGCGCTAAGGCGCTGCCATTGGGGGAAGCTTTTGCAAGTGACTTTTCATGGATGTGTCACGTGTCAGTTTGCGCCGCTATTCCATTGTGATTTGCATGAAAATGACATGTCGCGCAAGAAACGTGATGCGTTTCGCTGCACAGGCGCAGCGTTTTGTGAGATCTGCAGATTGCTGCGCAGTTCCATTGGGATTAGCGTTTGGAGAGTCGTGTTTTTGGGGTGTTGGATGTGGCCCTGCCATTGGGATTTGCGTTTCAGGGTGTGGCATCGAAGCTGTGTTTTCGTGACAGGTCTCAGCTGAAATGCCGATTTTGGTGGATGGGAGTGTGCTCAGAACGGGTCGAAATCATTCCAAACGTGTGGTGTGGTGCAAATTTGGTGGAAGCTCACATGAGATGATATTGGCATTTTTCGTGGCAGGCGCAGGACTTTGTGCGGCTTTTGAGGTGTGGAAGTGGCAGGGGCAGGGAATCGTGAGGTTGCGAGGTGTGACGGAGGTGACATTTCGTGGCAGGCGCAGTACAGATTCGTGGCAGGTGCAGGGAATCGGGAGGTTGTGAGTTGTGGTAGAGGTGAATGTCGCTGTCACATTGGGATTGGCGTGTGAGCGGGCGTCGTTTGAAGGGGCTGGAATCGCGAAACTGCTTGGCAGGGCTGCGTGATGTGTGTGTGCTCCGATGGGTGTTTTTATCTGGACTTTTGGAGGAAGTCTTGTGCGAAACGTTCGTTTTGCGGACTTTGACATGTGAGTTTTTGAGGAAGTCTCGTACGAAACGCTCGATTTGGGGACTTGACATGTGACTTTTGGAGGAAATCTCGTACGAAACGGTCCCGCAACAGTGTCCCACAAGAGTGTCCTACAAGAGTGTCCCACAAGAGTTTCCTACAAGAGTGTCCCACAAGAGTGTCCCACAAGAGTATCCCACAAGAGTGTCCTGCACGAGTGTCCCACAAAAGTGTCCCACAAGAGTGTCCTACAACAGTGTCCCACAAGAGTGTCCCATAAGAGTGACCCACAAGAGTGTCCTACAAGAGTGTGCAACAAGAGTGTCCCACAAGAGTGTCCCGCAACAGTGTCCCGCAAGAGTGTCTCACAAGAGTGGAGCTTGTGTCCCACAAGAGTGTCCCGCAAGAGTGTCCCAAATGAGTGTCCCACAGGAGTGTCCCACAAGAGTGTCCCGCAACAGTGTCCTGCAAGAGTGTCTCACAAGAGTGTCCCTTAAGAGTGTCCCACAAGAGTGTCCCACAAGAGTGTCCTATAAGAGTGTCCCACAAGAGTGTCCCACAAGAGTGTCCTACAAGAGTGTCCTACAGGAGTGTCCCACAAGAGTGTCCCACAAGAGTTTCCTACAAGAGTGTCC